AGACTACCGGTCAGGAAATAGTCATTTTTAAATGAAGGGTTTTGAAGGTTTCGGAAATAATTTTTTTTGTACGCTTAATAGCCAAACTGCTTAGAATTGATTTTCAGGAAGCTAGTGCATTCATCGTGAAAATAGATAAAATAGTTTCAGAAAGTTAGATTTTCGGAAAATAAAACAACTTTCGAAAGTCAAATTACATGCAAGCGGCAATGGCTCCCGCCACCACTTTTAGAAATCTTTGAGTTTGACAGACTTCTCAAAACTACTTTCACTTTCCACGTCTAACAGCTACTTTAGTCCACCTGATTTAATCTTCAAACCAACAATGTAAATATTTACATGTAAAATATTTACTACATGTAAAACTCAACTCCAAAATTTCTTTGTCGCAATTTTTTGTTTATTGTGAATGTAATTATTCCATCAGTCTACATAACTTATTTAATAATAACTATTACACCTCTCTGATAATATGTCTAAAAACGGTGTTTGTGCCTTTACACGTAAATCTTTCTTTAGAAAGACAATAGCATATATAGTTTATNTAAAACAACTTTCGAAAGTCAAATTACATGCAAGCGGCAATGGCTCCCGCGCCATTATGGCAATTACGGCAATGGCTCCCGCGTATTTATGACTCAACACGTTATTTGTGTGTTGGTCCTCCGATTAACAAATATATATGTATGTATGTAAATGGTTGAGAATCGATGCGGGTGGGTAAAATTATTTGCTGTAAATTGTATGCAGTAGGGAAAGTTAACGTTCGACAATTTACGATATATTGCAAATTATTTGCAATATATTTTACTAACATACTCAACCGATATAGTTAATGCAACAAAACGTATGTGTAATAAAACTAATAGCTAAAACAACAACAGTACGATACCCTTAAAATAGCTTCTGTGATGGCGCAATCTTGAAAATGAGGAGTAGGTATGTACATGGTATGTGAAACGGTAGCAGCGGCGTCAATAGAGGCTTCTCTAATTCTGTTGCTGTCAGCATAAGTCTCAGCCTCCAGCCGTATTTTATTTGCATGCACCCGAGTACATGCCCGCATATCCCCAAGTTTATGTACGGAGCAGCACAAGTCTTACATTGTGTTGCTACAATTAGATTACCCAGGAATATCTGTAACTATTTACATACATATCTATATGTACACATAGGTATATGCATATGTATGTATGTTTGCTGACAATATGGTTCTCTAATAGATATTTCGAATTGTGCACAGCCGAACGGCATTAAATAAATTACCAACTTGGCTAGCAAGTTTTATGGGAGGTAAAGGGCCGTAACATATGGAGTGTGATAGCAGAGAGTGAAGCAGAGACTGAATGAATGAGATGCCAAATATAAAAAATAAGCACGATATAATTATATACGATAAAGCATGGACCTTTACGCCTAAAGACGGCCAATAAATAGATTGGCGTTAGGATTATTACAGCTCTCGGACAGCGGCCGACACAAAACATGTGATATATGTATGTACGGTGACCATAAATATGAATTGAAAAGCAGGAAATTTTTTTAAAAATATACCTACACATATTTACGTAGTATAAAAATAACAAAAAAGGACTTAGTATATGTTACTAAATTCTTAATCCATTTTAAACTTTACACATAAATCACATTTATGCCAATAGTGTTATTGAGCTTTGTACCACGATTTGTTTGGAAAAATGGAAAAAAAACAATCATACTTAAGCGATAGAAGTTATAGCAGCTATTTCGGAGATCACCACCTCTCCTCATTAGACTTATTTTTTTCTAGACTTTCAGCAGGGAGCGAACCCGCGTCATCGATGTGCAAAGTCAGAAGCGCTAACCACTGAGCTATGCACACCCTGTAAGCTTTCGTTGCTAATCCATTTTCCTTATTCAACCTACTACTATCAAGTGCAGCTGATTCGCCGCTATTAAAGCGTGGTAGTTATTGTAAATTCCATACATGAAATAGATTCATTGCATAGTTTTTAGGGCAGGCTCATCCCATATATTTATTTGTCATTTTTTATTGTGGCGTATTCATATTTATTCCAATAGTGTTATTGAGCCTTGTACCACGATTTGTTTGTTAGGAAAAAAAAACAAAAAGAAGTATGATGAGATGTGGTGATCTCCGAAATAGCTGCTATAACTTCTACCGCTTAAGCATTGTTGTTTTTCCATTTTTTCTAACAAATAAATAGTGGTACAAAGCTCAATAACACTACTGGAATAAATATGAATACGCTACATTAAAAATTAACAAATAAATCACATTTGCTTAATTCTTAGTAATCTTTTTTTAAATGAATGTTTATGTATTATTTAGGGGAAAATAGCTTATTTGTTCACCCGCAGATTACGTTTTACGCTTTAGTTCTTTCCCCCCCTAAATAATACATAAGTATGTATAACTAATTTTAACGAACGAGTCGAAGGCCCTGTATATTTTACTCATTGTTAATAAATAAATAAATACATTAGCTTAAACGATAAGAGAACCTCTTAAATAGATAATATTGTAGGCAAACTTTGGGTCGTTAAACATGAAGACAATGGGGCCGTATACATAAAATTTAAGCAAATGCTTTTTCTTAAAATTTCAGACATTTTTCTCAATTTGTTCAAATAAATTTAAGTGAATGGAATGAAACTTTAAGATGAAATAATTGCTCAATTTTTATGCATACGGCCCAATACCAATTTTTTCAAAGAAAAGTTTAGCAGATTTTTTTTTCGAACAACATGTTTTTTGGTATATTCGCAGTTATTCGTCAAAAATCCACATCATGAATCGACGTGAAGGTATTTATGTGCCCTTTACACAAATATATAATTTGTGCAGATTACGTTCCATAACATCTATATTTCTCATCAGACTTGACTGTAATGACTAGGGAAGACAAAAATATGCAAAGGCATATCGCACATGAAAATGCATATTATGACACAAAATGCATACTTTGGGGAAAATGCATTAAAATGAATAAATATGATTATTTTTGTAATAAGATACTTAATTTTCGCATAATGCCACCTGACAATACCTTTGCGGAGGTTTGTTTAATTGGCAAACGAAAAAAGCTGAGAAACAACGGAAAGTCCCGTTATTTTCTAGTAAACAATTTTAATACACTCGTAAAAATATTTCGACTGTTGTTTTCCAATAGCAAAGTTTCGCGCTAAACCGGTTTTGGTGGTTGAAAAATTCAATCAAAATTTTTCGTTTTTAGCGAAAGCTGTTTAACAGTTTCCAGATGTGTTGCGAACTGAGCAGGGAGTTTTATTCTGCATCTATTGNAAAATGCATATTATGACACAAAATGCATACTTTGGGGAAAATGCATTAAAATGAATAAATATGATTATTTTTGTAATAAGATACTTAATTTTCGCATAATGCCACCTGACAATACCTTTGCGGAGGTTTGTTTAATTGGCAAACGAAAAAAGCTGAGAAACAACGGAAAGTCCCGTTATTTTCTAGTAAACAATTTTAATACACTCGTAAAAATATTTCGACTGTTGTTTTCCAATAGCAAAGTTTCGCGCTAAACCGGTTTTGGTGGTTGAAAAATTCAATCAAAATTTTTCGTTTTTAGGGAAAGCTGTTTAACAGTTTCCAGATGTGTTGCGAACTGAGCAGGGAGTTTTATTCTGCATCTATTACAATTGCTCAATATCAGCAACAAAAATATTTTGTGTGAAGCAACACTTCAATAAAATATTGCAATATTTTCACCTGGAGAATTGTCATCTTTTAAATACTGTCCAACAAAGTCTTGTGACGTAGAGCGTTCATTTTCAGTACATATATATATGAACAAAAACTTTTTATGCGATAATGGAAAACATTTTCGGTATATGCATTTTTGGGACATATACCAAGTATATTTTTAATATATTGGAGTAATTTTAATGATCATATAATTAAGTTATTTGTGCATATTTTTGTCTTCCCTAGTAATGGCATATCTGCTATGCATCGAATTTTAAAAATAATGAAAACAGAATCAAGTAAAACTGTGTACTGATTGAAAATCTTAGCTTTTTCGACTTTCTTCGCTTGTAGCACTAATAACTTTCATTGAAATCGGCACAAATTATGTATATATTTTTGTAAAAGGTACCTTTCGAACTGTAAGTCGCTTACGTTGATTGGGAGATTTTTTTCATGACATATTGAAGAAAAGCTCCGAAAAGTAACAAACACATCCAGCCATTGTCCGCGGAAAATTTAGAATGCACTGACTGGTTGAAGTTTCAAAATCAGCCTCACTCTCATATCAATCAGTTATCGACACTGCTTATATTTTGATAGATAAAGGGCTCTCACCGATCATTTTAAAATAACGAATAAAATGCGGAATGAGGACACTTGGTAAAAATCAGTACATTTTCAGGTTTTTCTGCCTTGAAAAACTACGCAGGGCAGACCTTTGATCAATAGTACGGACCTGAAAAAAAAACGGGACGGATGGTCACCGTAGTTATATGCCAAAAAAAGACTCCTCGCATAGCTATATGGTTAAAAGTGCTCAGTTTATTATTGCAATGAATTTTATATGCACATATGTACGTATATCTATGTAGCTACATCCATTTTAGTGCACATAATTCAATCAATTTGTTTCTCTACAGACACTTATCACAAATTATCACTAGAGTCTGCTGGGAAGCGTTTCTTAACCCAGCAGCTATTCCTCGTTCTTACGCGCTACTTTTTTTTNTGTGTTGCGAACTGAGCAGGGAGTTTTATTCTGCATCTATTACAATTGCTCAATATCAGCAACAAAAATATTTTGTGTGAAGCAACACTTCAATAAAATATTGCAATATTTTCACCTGGAGAATTGTCATCTTTTAAATACTGTCCAACAAAGTCTTGTGACGTAGAGCGTTCATTTTCAGTACATATATATATGAACAAAAACTTTTTATGCGATAATGGAAAACATTTTCGGTATATGCATTTTTGGGACATATACCAAGTATATTTTTAATATATTGGAGTAATTTTAATGATCATATAATTAAGTTATTTGTGCATATTTTTGTCTTCCCTAGTAATGGCATATCTGCTATGCATCGAATTTTAAAAATAATGAAAACGGAATCAAGTAAAACTGTGTACTGATTGAAAATCTTAGCTTTTTCGACTTTCTTCGCTTGTAGCACTAATAATTTTCATTGAAATCGGCACAAATTATGTATATATTTTTGTAAAAGGTACCTTTCGAACTGTAAGTCGCTTACGTTGATTGGGAGATTTTTTTCATGACATATTGAAGAAAAGCTCCGAAAAGTAACAAACACATCCAGCCATTGTCCGCGGAAAATTTAGAATGCACTGACTGGTTGAAGTTTCAAAATCAGCCTCACTCTCATATCAATCAGTTATCGACACTGCTTATATTTTGATAGATAAAGGGCTCTCACCGATCATTTTAAAATAACGAATAAAATGCGGAATGAGGACACTTGGTAAAAATCAGTACATTTTCAGGTTTTTCTGCCTTGAAAAACTACGCAGGGCAGACCTTTGATCAATAGTACGGACCTGAAAAAAAAACGGGACGGATGGTCACCGTAGTTATATGCCAAAAAAAGACTCCTCGCATAGCTATATGGTTAAAAGTGCTCAGTTTATTATTGCAATGAATTTTATATGCACATATGTACGTATATCTATGTAGCTACATCCATTTTAGTGCACATAATTCAATCAATTTGTTTCTCTACAGATACTTATCACAAATTATCACTAGAGTCTGCTGGGAAGCGTTTCTTAACCCAGCAGCTATTCCTCGTTCTTACGCGCTACTTTTTTTGCCTAGCAGAAACTAGCAGCTGTCAGAATGAATAAACAGTTGTTGAAACGAAAGCAACCGAGGTTAAACAACGTTGTTTCTATCTGCATATTGTTGGTATTTCTTTTTTAATAAAAATGAGGGAATCAGTTAATATTGATGAAGTGTTGCAAAATATATGTATTTTGAATATTTTTGAAATATAAAAAGCTATTAAAAAATCGCGCCAAATATTTTCAATTGTCATCGATCAGCTGTTTACTTGTTAGTTTGCGTTTCTTTATTATTTCTTAATTTCCTGATATGTATCTGCTAGAAAAGTAAATAAACAAAGCTATTATCAATATGGACAGCAAGCAGTATACCGCCCCAGTGGGAAAATGTAATGTATATCTAGTAATCGAAAAAATATCCAGTAAAGAACCTTTTTCACATTCGAAAATGCATTTTTCTCCCCAGGGCGATGTCCTAAGAAAAGTGGGACATCCAATTTTGCATTACCTAGTATCGAGAAATGAATGTGATTTAATATGGAATTGTTGGGGCTTTTTGAATAAATTATAATGCTGATTACATATTAAACAGTAATTGTATGTAAAACTCATAAGAAGTACATTCGATTATTTATCACCCATGGAATGCATTACTAATTTTGCCACTGGGTATATATACATATATGTATGTAAATATTTAAATAGCGGTTGTTGCGCCTGTCTGTTCTGACGCGCAGCAACTGATTGCCGTTGTTCATCGTTTGTCAAATGAGACAAATAAATACACAATTACACACTTAAGTGATTCTGTGGCTCGTTTTTCGCGTCAGTTGGCCTCCTGATATGGAGTGGTTTTGCTTTTGTTCAAAAACGGAAGTTGTAAGTGTAAACATTGCAATTGTTGCAAATTGTCGATATAAGCGGAGCGGCAGCAAGCGAAACTTATGAATACATACATAAATATATTGTAGGAGTACAAGCCTCGCAGGACTGTAGATTGCTTCTGGTGGGCTGTTGCTGAAGATTGAGTATTCGCCAATTTATACAGAGTTAGCACAACCGTCGAGAGAAAACTCGGGCCCTGGACTAAAAACTCACGGGTCCCTATACATAAATTGTATTAATTTAAAAGTAAATGTAATTTTCTTTAATTTATAGGGTCAAGAAATAATAAGCACGAATCGGAATATGTTTATAATACTTAAAAACCTATAATTAAGGAGCAATTACATTGTAAAACATTTAAAAACAAGTTATGGCTCTGCTATTTCGGGCACCTTAAAAAGACCGGGCCTGGGGGATTTATCCCTTTCCCCCTCCACCTCGAGGGGCCTTAGAGTAAGTCCTTAAAAATTGACACCTTCCTCCTACCACCTTCATATGTATGTATGTATGTACACATATTTTTCGACAAGTCTTGAGCATATATTCATTTATGTACAGTTTTTTTGCAAAAAGCAAAAAAGTAAACTCTACGGCTTTTGATAAATATTTATGTATGTATCATGGTAGCCAACTCATTTTTGATAATTCCCCTTGGATATCTCCTTATTTACAAAAAAAAATTGTGTGTATTTTGATATATTGCTGGTCTGCCTGTTTATTTTCTTTTTAATGTAATTCAGCTATGTATGTGTTCATAGACCAAACCAAACTTTTATAAAGTTAGTTAATAAATAAAGAAAAAAGTGTACATATGGGTAATACTTGCACAAATACAGTGGTCGAAAAAATTTTAGTCGCGTCAAATTTTGACAAGTTTTCGCAATCATTATTATTATTTTTTGTTATTAATTTGATATGTTTTTGTATAAAAATAAAGTTCATTCTTTAACAAAAAACATATAAAACCAAGTTTCAAACTTTGTGTAATATTAACAAAAAATTCTACAAACTTTCGTAAAAATTTCGAGCTTTGTAATTAGATTTTCCAGAAAGATTTTGAGTATGCAGGTTTTTAGCCTACACAATTCTAATAATTGCAAGTTTCAAGTGGCTAACAATTTTAGTTAAATAAAATTGTGTTTATTTGTTATATGAACTCAAATGCGACAAAGAAAATTCTAAATCAACGGTAATTTGCATAATTTGCAGGATTGTATAATCAGTACGTTTAGTTGCAATGCGACTATTTTTACCTCATTATGAAACTAGTGAAGCAAAAAAGAATAAATTAGCTAAACTTGATTCCTCACAAAAAGCAGTTCATCTCCCGATTCTGCACCTAAACTGAAATTCCCCACAAAAAACGGTCCATTCCCCGATTCCCCAAGCAAACTCAAACCCCCCGCAAATCGGCGAAATCCCCACGAGTTGGCTTCCCTGGTATGTATGTACATTAGGGTGGTCCAAAAACGCATGTGAATAAATAAAGTCGGAATTTTTATGCTCTCACCCCTTAGGATTGTTCTATCCCGAAAAAAATATACCTTTATTTTTTTATTTTGAAATAAAAAATATTTAGAGGTCGCTCAAAGCGCCCAAAGTTTTCCACTACTTTTCGTAGAAATGGTATAGAATAGTAAAAAATCATTATTTTTCTACCAGAAAACTCTGTTTATCTGCAGTAGATTCCTAGTAATAATACCCATTTGTTTATTTAACCATTTTTTCATCGCAACTATGATTTATAGGTCCGCCAAAAACCCATAAAAACCTCGAAAAATGTAATGGGGCAACCAATAAAAATCGTTAGTTTTCAAAAATGGTTAAATAAACAATTGGGTATTATTGTTGACAGTCTTCTGGGCAGAACAAAAGTTTTCCGATCGAAAAATATTGATTTTCAAGAATTCTATACCATTTCTACGAAAAATTTTATTTTTCCCTTATAAAAATACATGGAAAACTTTGAGCGCTTTGAGCGACCTCTAAATATTTTTTGATTTAAAAATAAAAAAGGGGTATACTTTTTTTCGATATAGAACGATCCTAGGAGGTGAGAGCATTACAATTCCGACTTTACTGTTTTTGGACCACCCTAATGTACATACAAATGCGTACATATATTGAAAAAGTCAATGTTTTAAAAAGGTTTTTCTAGATTTGCATAGCAGTTAAATGTCCCCTTATTCAGTAAAAAAATTACAAATACTTATTGGTAGGTGTAATTTAAAGATATTAGTAAAAATACGTGGGCGTGACGTTACGAGNTACAATTCCGACTTTACTGTTTTTGGACCACCCTAATGTACATACAAATGCGTACATATATTGAAAAAGTCAATGTTTTAAAAAGGTTTTTCTAGATTTGCATAGCAGTTAAATGTCCCCTTATTCAGTAAAAAAATTACAACTACTTATTGGTAGGTGTAATTTAAAGATATTAGTAAAAATACGTGGGCGTGACGTTACGAGAAACAGAAGTGGATTTTGACTTGGGTTACAAAATCGCAAAACTTTGCGAATTGCCAAGACTATTTGTATACAAGTTTTTGTAGTAATATTGCAAATATTTAAGGTTAATCTTCCAAGTTTTTAAATGTAGAAATCTTTTCTGCAGTATGTTTAATCAGTTCAATTATCTGACGTGACGTTACCTGGTATTACGTAACTTAAAAACCATTGAAAAAGTTTTGTTAATATTGTTCTTGAGAGAATTTTTAACGGGAAGAAAACATGCAATTTATGTCGAGCGTACTTTTTATTTTGACATCAGCGCCACCAGTGGCTCCATTTTTTACAAATTTATGTCTTATTACATTTTAACTAAGCATGCCAAATATGAAATAAATCAGAGCAAAAATACGGTTTTGAAAAATATCTCGCCTCTGGCGCCAACTAACGAGACCATATTTGGAAACAAATTTTCTGCTTACATAACCAGTGTATATCACAGCCCACGGCAGTGCGCGCGAGTGATGAAAGCAGCCACAGTAGCATGCTGAAATGACTCTCTTATATATGTATACAGGATATTTGGAAGTTTTTATCCAGACGTCCAATCGACATGTTTTAGGTATCGTTGGAAAGGTCTTGTGAGTGTGTCCAGAAAATGCATCCAAGTTTCATAAACGATTATCCGAATTCTTAAAAATTAGGGTAAAGTGTTGCGAATCAAAAAACGTTTTTTTGCTTTTGCCGATTTAAGGGGGTATGAGGGTACACCCGACATATTTAGTGTTATTCTATAGGCCAACACCTTTCAAACAGTATCTTATATATTGAGTTCAGCGTACTTGTTGGAAAGATATAGAGGTAAAGGTGTTTTGGTTCGTGTCTCCACTACGATATGCTTTGGTATATATGTGGCGTCTGTACGTACCTTCATTTAATTTTTTTCAAACTTTCAGGAATTAAAGTACCAAAAAACTAGGAAGGTTTTGTTCCAGGAGGTTTCCACTCGTATGCCTTTGTGGGCGTGGCTGGTGCCTGAAATTCGAAAAAAAGGCAGTTTTTTAAACTACCACTGAGGCCGCACTACTCATTCCATACCATTCATGTTGACATCAGTAGAAGGGCCTTAAAATAAGCTATCTAACGCTGTTTTTTGCGTTCATTAAATATAAATATATCATAACGTTATCGCCTAAAAACTAAAAATCGGGCAGCTGAAAATATAGATTTCGGGAATTTTCTCAAAAACTGGTTAGTAGATTTTATTCCAAGTTTTCTCAAGTCTAGCCCAAAACCTTAGCTTTCATGTGGTATATAGGTTATATCTGGGAAAGCTCTTGTTGTGGAGATATCACGATTCAAATTGAAAAAATGTCGCTCCAAATAGCGAAAAATGGTTAAAAGTTAACATATTCGTCTAATTTGATTACTTTTAGTTATAAACGTAAAATATCCAAATTCCCACAAAAATTCCCCGTTCCCCAATGCCACCTAAACTGAAGTTCCCTGCAAATCCCGCCAGTTGGCTTCCCTGTACGCGATACATAATTAAATAAATAAGAATTATTTTTACTTTTGCTGGTTTCTTTGTTTTCTTGTACATACGTAAGTTTACATGTATGTACACATTCAGTGTGAATGCAATGATATCGTGGGCGGGATATTTGATGTACACAGTATGCAACTATACCCGCACTTAACCAACCTGGGAAGGCGCTTACATTATCACCTACATTTGTACGAACATACATATGTACTTATGTATGAATGCATTTATTTCACTTGATTTGTCGCTACTAATTATGTATAGATTGCCACTGAGCAAAAACGCGTCAGTAAAAAAGGCGAGTGCAGCACCGTACTCGCGATAGAAGTAAAACTTCTTAAAAGACTTATATGTTTCAATGGAATTGAATTCAGTGTTAAATATTTGAATACATCATTTAGATTTAGATAGAGTTTTTAGCCATTTATTTGGGAAAAATAAAACATTTAGATTTTTGTTTGGATTAAATTTGCTATCACAAAACAATTGATATCAAATAAAACAACTCTTTGAGGTAAAATTTTCGAGTGACGAAAGCTGAACTAGAAACACGAAATTTATGATCTCAATTTCGTGACGAAAATTATACGCATTTTTTTAACTGCTTTGGAAACTGACGGAAAATAGTATTATTTATTCGGACCGTTGCGAAGTTCTGTCTACTCTTAGAAACATAACACAAAAAATTAGAACTTTAGTAACGATTCGTATGAATAATACTATTTTGCGTCAGTTTCCAAAGCAGTTAAAAAAAATTTGATAATTTTCGTCACGAAATTGATATCATAAATTTTGTGTTTCTAGTTCAGCTTTCGTCACTCGAAAATTTTACCTCAAAGAGGTGCTTTATTTGATTATAAATAGCAGCAAAATCGGCCTATAAATAAGTTAGAAATAGGACATAATTCTTTTTTTTTCGGGGTAGACTTTTCGCTGGAATCGCCACGATTTCGACTTCATATTTGCCAATTAAATATTATATCGACCTCTTTGTATTTTTGGTAGAAAGTAGTGAAATATTTTGATACGATATTTATTGTATGTATGCGTTTTTTTTTTTTTTGTGGGAACTAACACAAAATACTAGTGGAGAAAACAGCATAAATCGGAGCAGATTCGCGGATCTTAAAGAGAGATATGTTCCTGCCCTCCCTACCGCAATGTAGCGTCTCCGATAAAAAGATGTTAAGAACCGGGGTTAGAATTTTAAGCTTGAAAAAAGGAAAAATTATCATTTGAGAAAAGGCAAAAAAAGCAAACAATATGCATGTCCAATTAAATAAATAAAAAAACATATATATAGTGGTAAAAAAATTATAGCCGAACCACTTTTAGCCAAGTTTTAATGTATTATTTTTGTGGTTATTTAATTTTGGTTATTCTTTTATAAAAATATAGTTAGTTCATTCTTTAACAAAACCATTGGAACTTGTGCAATATTAAAAACATTCAAAAGACTTTCGTACAAATTTCGAGCTTTTTTAAAAATGGCTTTTTTTTTAGCCATTTGAAACTTGTACTATATTCTACTAGAATTCAATGGGCTACAAAACTGCATACTTAGAATCTAATTAAAAACTCTAAATTATTACAAAAATTTGTTGAATTTATTTTTTTTAATTGCATACATTTTTAAGGCAGTTTCCCTCGATTGGTACATTTGAACAGATTTGTGCATTTTTTTATTGGGCTATTGGTACAAAATACCAAAATTGGGATAATTTTTTTTGTAGTCAAATGATTGGTACAATACAGCAATCTTCTATTGAAAAATTTCAACAAATTATTTTTCGTGATTGGTATAAATAAAAGTTTTTGGGTATTCACACAATTGGGATACGATTTGACCCATATTTCGGTAAATACCCAATTGTTTTTATACGGATGTTGTTAAAGAATGAACTATAAAAAAACAACCAAAATTAAATAACAACAATAATATTTTAAAACTTGTCAACATTTGGTGCGGCTTTAATTTTTTCGACTACTTAACATAAGTTGACTATGATTTCTCGGACGTGCTATCATAGTAGCACAAGGCCACTAATATTTGACTTACAAACAAAATACGGGCAGAAATTTCAACCCTGTTTGTGTGAAATATTTTATTTTTTATCAGAATTTTTCTTTTAATCAATCTTTGTTGAAATAAAAGTGAAAAAAAAAATATTTTGTCAGAACCACTCCCTCTATTAATATTGCACTCTCTCAATTAATATTATTGTGATTATGTATATTTACCTATATACTTTTATAAATTTTCGACATAAAAAAACGAACACATTTCATATGCATTATGATTTAATAATCTATATTTTTCTAAGGCATGCATAAAGTTTTAAATATTAAAATATTTAACAATAAATTTAAAAATATTTGCTTAAATACAAAGAAATGCGAATGGAATGGTTTGTACCTTAATACCTACATACATACATACGTACATACTTTTATACACACATATGTATCTACGTGTTTGTTTGCATGCATTTCCATCAACCGTTCCTGTTTTAGCATTCAACCACCCGCTTTGCCCGGTAGCCATTCATTTAATTTATTTATTGGCGTTTCATTGCTGAATTTATGCATTTCGAATCCCTGTGTTGTAAATTTAGTCGAATGTGAAAATTGTGCATTTTGGCATAGACTGAATCTATCTGTGCTGTTCACACATAACTATGTATGTATATGTATGTATGTATGTGCATATGTATGAACACTCGGAGTATCTATTAATGTACATAGGTACATACATATGTGCATAAATACTTACATATGCATACAAATATACGTAAGGCGCACACTTTTATGCTCGGGGACAGATAACTCATGTATGTGCGTATGAGACGTGGCGGGATTTTCATTTTAAAATATCGCGTAGCAATATGGCATGCGAAATAAACTAAAACAAAAAAGCGGAACTCAAAACAAAAACAAAAGCCGAGTGGTATAAAACAATTGAAAAAAAAGCTATAACAGCGGCAGAGGAAAACCGAACTTAAAGCAATGACAAATAGTGTGCGGAGATAAAAAGCACACACACGTTCGAACACATATGTACACTCAGAAGCGAATAAGTAACCCTTTAGGAAATGCGAGCATTCCGCCATGCATGACGAAAATATTCCCCAGAATGAAAGAAACATCCCTCTTTGGCTTTCTGCACATTGGTCGTCCAATCATAGTTGCTTCATCATCACAATCATGATGCAAGGATAACATGACGACTACACTTTCGCACACTCGGTCGTGATATTTCAGTTCAATTGGCGTCACTTGGTGCAGGTATTTTCTGTCTTTCTGGTTAATAGTGCTGCCACAATTCTTGATATCATTTTTCAGTAATATCTCTTCTTTTCTTTTCCTGAAATGTGTTTTGAGCATGCACACAGAGACTTTTTACAATTTCGTCATATTTTATAGTTAAAACGCTCACATTTAATGAATTTTAATGCAATAATCCACTTCTTAATAATATCCACAGATTTTATGCAAAAACTACTAATTTTTTTGCAATATTAATGCAAATATTAACTTTTTCACAAATTTTTTTCCATAAAATGTAAACAAACAATTCGTGCAAAACGTTCAGCAAACGACAGTGCCGTACTTATCCGTTTCTGCATCTTCTACGATTTGCCGATAACTAGCCGATGACGACAAGTGTGCAGATCTCCTTTGAACTGCATGTGCTCGGCTCAAAATTTCAGGGCGAGACGATAACGCAACTATGATTGAACGAAAAGTGTGCAGATAGCCTTTGTTGAACAATCTAGTTTTTTTTTTTAATACACGATGCCATTGGGAGGAAGTATTCCCTCGCGGTGGTAATATGCCCCTCTAACCACTCAGTAAAAGCGGCTGTCACCCAAAGCTTTTTTCCCGCTTTCTATTTAAAGTGAGAAGGGAACAGTGTAAATCATTGCGCAACCAAGGGCTGCTTTCGGAGTTCACCCCAAAAAAATCTTGATAGTAGAGGGGAACTTACTCCTACAGTAGGAAGAATTATTTACAAACTTGCTGAAAAATCGAGCAAAGGAAACACAAACCTGTAAAAATTTCTTGTAATTAATTTATTAAGTTTTATTAACATTCTTTTTTAAAAACTTTTTTATTGCTTTTCAGCGATGAGGATGCATCGAACTAAACTTGTTATTGGCCAAGCGCCGATCGCCTGGGGATCAGCGTAAAGTATTTCGCCGGGAGGCGGTTGAACCCTATGCTCGCTCGTACGATCCAGTAGGATGTACTCGCTGGTCTTAAGCTCTTTTGACCTGCTTGAGTTATATTAAGTACAATGCAAACACAATATAAAAAATGTAAACCCTTAGTTAGGACAAATAATTGCATAAATATATTTAATGCATAAAATGTGGGGGAATTTTCACAATTTTTTGTTGATATATCTTTAGGTGTGAAACTTTCCTCCCTACAAATTATTTTCCCGGGTGCGCCCCTTCGGAGTTTCCGCGAGTGGTGATAAGGAACGAGTCCGTTTTACTTCCAAGTGGAAGCATTCCCCATTTTCCTAGAGGGAAAGAACCACGCATGCATATGTATATACACCATATGTACATGCATGCATTCATACACATGTACGTATATAAATATATGTATATGCATGCATACCTTCATGTCAGTGCGATATCAGGCTGGTGCTATGACCGGTAGGCGGGTGCAGCAGGCGCGGCAATGCGATGCGTTGCGGTGATTTATTTGCATATAAATGGGGCGAAAATGCAAAATCACACCCATACAAACTCACACATATATGGAGACATATTTCTGTATGTATGTAGGTTCGCACATACCCGTGCGTATTTATGCACATTTGTGGCTGTCATCAAACCAAACACGGAGGGTTAAGTGTGGCGCATATGTAGTTGACGTAATGCGGCATTCGCAATCGAAGAATAAAATATTTTTGCGGCGCATAAAGTAAAAGCCTCCCTTTTTTGACGCCAATGCAGCACATAATTTAAGCGCCGGCTGGCTGCTGACTCTTGGCTGCTGGTGGATTTTAAATTTGTTGGTGGAAAGAAGGCAGGGGTAGCATAAATATGTATGTACCATACATGTATGCACATTACGGTTGTTATTATTTTGGAAGTGTGGTCATTTTCGTTGCCCACCCCCGTTTTAATTAAAATAATTTGAGCTTAAGATGCTCACCTCTGCCCGCCAAAATTGAACTAAAAGAGTGAAATAATATTGTCATATCAAAAGAATGTACCAGGTAGTCAATACGTCAACAATCAAATTTATTGAAGTCCATAACACAGTACAACACAAACAATAACAAAGTTCTGACATCGGATTCTGGTAGAGGGGACCAAAGATACTATATGTACATCGGCATTTGAAAATTTACGTCAGAGTTTTATTTTAGAGAGGAGGCGGACAAAGTGCCACCCTCTTTTGCACATTCTTATGGGAAGTCGACGTAGGTAACCATATGATTCTCACATTTTAGACGTACGATGTGTTCATCCGTTTTATGTAAAATACGACAGAGAACATTTTTTAGGAACATTTTAGCCATCTAACTCCTCAATAGGTAGGCCATTTTTTCCCCATTTTAGAAAAGGGCAAAAATGCACACAATTTCGAATCTTAATGCGCTCAAGAGCTAATTTTGTAATGATTCCGAATGGATACTAAAATAACCCACAAACCAATAGTGTGTATGGAAATAATTTGACTTTATATAAGTATAAGCATCGAATAAAAAAATACAATTTTGTTTTTAGAATAAATAAATAAGTAAATAGTAAAAACAAATATTTTTAAAGCAAACTTTCCAAATATGAACGAAATCGGACCATAAATAATGGATTACAAAATATATCGACTCGTGCGCCACCTATCGGCAAAACTTTTAGTGGAGTTATTTCTTTTCATGTAGTTAATATACTTTCTAAATATGAACCAAATCGGATTATAACTACGGGTATTTCAAATGTCTGGACTCCTGCGCTACCTATCGGATTAACTCATCTTTCGTTTTGCATTGTCGTCGAGATCTGATCCAACTGTGAAGGTTCAAGTCTCTAGGTCATCGGGAAGTTGGTCTAAAATTGATTCCAAGATTTTCCCTTAACAAATATACTTACATACAGGGGTGCACCCAGAAACATATTTTGGGAGGGGTTTATACTCCTCAAAATTCTCCTCAGATAATATGCTCTTTAGAATACATTTATGAAAGTTTTATGTACAGTATGTAATAAATAAATAAACTTTTAAAAGTCTCATAACATGCACTTTATTTACATAAAACTAACACAGAACTCTAACATTTTTAACCGGCTTCAAAAAGAGGGTGAGGTTATCAATTTGTCGGAAAATTTTTTTCTTTGTTTTTTTATGTATGCCACCGCATAGCTTTGAGCCACGCGATTTATATGATCCTTTTTCTTAGATCCGATCATTGGATCATGAAGAAATTAACGGTACTCATAAATTTATATAAGAGTATCCTAAAACCCACCCCTTGTGTGCGCTAATTCTTGCATACATACATACATGCAGAGCAAGTTAAATAAAAGCTCGTAAAAGACAAAGTATCGTTTAATACAGTTTAAAACAAAACAAAATGAAACGAGCCTGAAAAATTATCCCTGTTTCTCTGATGAAGACTTCAAGTAATAAAATACAATTGTTTATTTAATCATTTTGTAATACTAACGTTGTTTTGGGGGTTTTGTTTTTCCTACATACAAAATACCTGAAAAACTTTAAGCGCCCTCTAAATATTTTTTGATCACAAAATAAACCAACAGGAATATTTTTTCCTAGGGAGTGAGAGCATTAAAATTCCGACTTTAGTTTATTTTTTCACCACCCTAATATATATACACTAGCGAAAATCAACAGCATTACTGCTTTTTAAGGGTATTATTAAATGTATGGAAAATCAATTATCAAGATATCAGCCAATACTTCCCATATACTAACCGAAAGGGAATAACTTGAGCTCTTAACTAAACAAAACAAAATCATTAGAGCGGTTTTCGCTCGATTTTGACCAATTTATACTAAAATTGTGTACTTGAATACCGATAAAGGAAACCTAACATTTCTAAGCTATACTGCCAAGTTGTTATGAATTATAAAAAATAACAAGTAATTTTTAAGCAAAAAACAAAACCGACTTCAAATGTCATAAAAAAATTATGAGTACCGTTAAATTTTTCATGATCCAATGATCGGATCTAAGCCAGATTAGTACGGGACCAACTCTGAGACACCACCTTTCCGATGCAAAAAGAATCGGTTAACGTGGTCCAAAGTTATGCGGTAACATACATAAAAAAAATATTCCGACGAATTGCTAGCTTCCTACTTTTTTTGAAGTCGGTTAAAAAAATCGATTTCGATCGTAAATTCCTTCGGGGCTATTTGCTGCACAGGTATGTATGTATGTATGTATGTATGTATATCGACAACGACACAACCATAGTGACAATAGTAACAACAACACTTTGCTGATATGGATTTGCGGTCTCAACTAGCGGCCAAACAAACAGAGCCATCTTCATGCCCACAGTGCCCATGCATATAAACCTACGTATGCACATACATATGTACATAAATACATACTTACATGCAAACATAAATTTACTGCACATGAGCATACTTTAACATATACAAACGCACATTGACAGTTAATTTTGCAATTGTATTTCAATAACAATAAATTTGTGCTTCCGACGTAAAATACGAGTGAAATGTGTGTTGTTTGCATTGCCCGAGTTTGTGTTGTTTGTGGAGTAGCGATAGTGTTTAATACGTGTACATGTGAATTGTATGCTCACTGAGGAGAAAGAGGACCGCCTATCCCGCTTAGCTTAATTTTCATATAGGTATATACATACACTTGTACACACGTAGAGTTCACACAATACCATGCAAACATTAATAAAATGTAATTAAAATTTGGTATTAGCTAAAACATACAATATGTGCAATGACAGCTGCACACTCACCGACATCAACTGAAGTACATTTACATATTTTAAACAAAATACACGAAGACAGAATGATTTTGATTACAACAACAATAGCAATAGCTCTTTCTTAAAACACCTTTAGTACGAGAACTTTGGTACATACGTGCATACATATATATGTATGCATGTACATACATATATGCCAATGTACATACATACGTGATGGTCAGGGCCGGCTTTAGAAGCAATGCCAACCGGGGCGTAAATGGAACGAAACGCCCTCTGATAATAATGCTTATTGCTTCGGTTTATTTTTCTTATATGTTAATCAATTGCAAAAATTGTCGAAATAAAAAAATTTCAATTTTTACTATAATCAAAATCTTTAGATACATCAAGTCTACCTGTGTACTTGGCTTGAGCAAATTTTTCGATGACTTTCCACAAGCTCTTCTGGGTAACAATCAAGTTTTCGATAGATAAGATAGCTAGAGCGTTTAATCTTTATTGTGACATAGCAGATCCTAGGCACGTTTTGGTGAGCTGCGACTTCAATAAACCTCGCTCCCTGCTGACAACAGCCACTGGAAAAGTCAACAAAACCTTAAGAGAAATCCAAGCATTAGAAAATATATCGAAGAATTTTTCTTGAAGAACTTCAAGAAGCTCCAGTGCCCGTTTTAGCGATGCAGGTTTAATACGTCGTAATTGTTTCAACGCTTCATAAAGCTCCAATCCATTTACGTCCGAATTTTCTTCAGGTGTTCAACTCACGACATTTTGACAATAAAAAAGCGTCATCTTCGATTGAATCTTGGGACTCTTTCGAATATGAGTAAAAAGAAACCCCTCATAGATTTTCATGATTTTTCAACTGCTCANCCCGTTTTAGCGATGCAGGTTTAATACGTCGTAATTGTTTCAACGCTTCATAAAGCTCCAATCCATTTACGTCCGAATTTTCTTCAGGTGTTCAACTCACGACATTTTGACAATAAAAAAGCGTCATTTTCGATTGAATCTTGGGACTCTTTCGAATATGAGTAAAAAGAAACCCCTCATAGATTTTCATGATTTTTCAACTGCTCCAATATTTCCTTGACAGAAGCTAAGGTAGTGTCAACTAGAACAACGAAAAAATCAATTTTAAATTGATCTTCTAGTGTGGAAATTGCAGACCCGTCTTGACTGTCGTAATCGAAAATCTTCTTCTTTCTTCTTTTACGAGATGAGCACCTTTTGCCGCAAATTTAAATGCTCTATATATCTGTAGGTGGATAGAAATTCAACGCAAATTTCTATAGGCTCAGTGACTGCAGCGATGCCCATGGTTGTTCTCTGCATTGATTTACTCATGAGATTGACCTAGAATGGGTGTTATACTAAACAGCCAAGCATTTGGCCTCATGTTGGGCACACGGATATTTCAGATCAGAGGAAAAGAAAGTCTCCTTTAGAGCTTCCTAAATTTCTTTCGCCTAATATTAAATGACTTTATCCATGTCCAGTCTGTTTTCCCAACGAGTTGTGCATAATGGTTTTACGGTGAGATTTTGAACATGATTTTTGAAAATGGTCCATCTCTGGGTAGATGCTCAGAATGGAAAGAAGATGCGTTGAAGTACACCTAAAAGAGTCATGCATGTTCTGGATGTAGAGGCAGCATCGCCCTTCACCAAATTCAAGGAATGCCATCCCCATTGTACAAATGGTACTCTCGCATTTAGTTCGAGGAACTCGACTTGATCTCCTTTGTTTTGTAAATATCTGATATTTATGTTGTTGTTTTCAACAACCCCCCCTCTCTAATTGAAGCCTAGCGCAACCGCCCCTAAAGCCGGCCCTGGTGCTTGTTCAGATAAGAAGAATTCGGGCGGTAAGTCGAATATTGGCGCTCTGCATACACATTGAACAATTAACTTGACAATCTTTCCATTTGTCAGTGTGTTAATTTATAATCAAATCAACATAAACCTAACCACCGCCCGATGGGAGCGAGTCTGGCTGAGATTGTAGCAGGGTTGAAAGGAATTTTTGGTCACAACCCTTGGACTGACCTCTGGGGCCTCTCAGTGGGTAAGTTAAGTAGCAAATTTCTGGCACATAGCATACCATATACATATATATGTATGTATGTATATATATATGGGTGCACTCAGTGTGAAATTCCATCTAATTTTGTTGGGCAGCAGAGGATCTGATATGGTTGCACTGACATGGCCGTTTATGCACATTATGGCTGCGACAGGTGCAGCCATTATGCTACCGTGCATTCTGCCCTCCGTCCACTGCCGTTTAATCATTCACCGCAAGGGTTGTTGTGCCAGGGCTCTTGCACTATCTCTTTCACTCTGTTTACATGTATCACCTTCTCCCTTAGCACCACTTCCTTTTTACTTTCTTGACTGTTTCTGTTTAGCTGCTGACTTTCGCTTAATGTTACATTATTCCGATTTATTTGCAAAAACTTTTGCATTTCTTCAAATGCATTTCTGTTATTAATAGGGGTATTCTCTGAGTCTTGCAAAGCCCTTGCATGGTGCACAGATTGCACGGATTGCACGGTTAAAACCGGTTTTCGTATGGGACAGCTTTGCAACCCGTGCAGTCCGTGCACCGTGCAAGGGCTTTGCAAGACTCAGAGATTACCCCTAATGAGAAAGAAAAGGCTATGTATTAGCATCAAGAAATCATAAATAGCGGCGTAACGTTAACAAAAATCGACTTGGTAAATAATGCACAGTCCAACCGAACACTAGCGTTAATGTTAAGAGCATATTTCGTTTCAATGGAAATTATTTGGCACTGGACAGAGAAAATTTTATTTATTTATGTATTTATAAAAGTTTACATAACAATAGGAATGATTAAATAAACCATAAAACACAGCTCCAGCAGCAATAATTAGTTAGTGCTGGTTTCAGCGCTTTAGAAGAGGCGATTTTAACAAGAGCAGCAAAAACCCGACGAGACACAAGAAAGCTTTAAAAAGTCTGAATTATTTAGAGCCGTTATGACACCAATATGCATGTCCGACTCAAGAAAATCAGCATAGAGACGCAGTTCTTCACAATAAAAAACAACTGTCCCAATAAAAACGGAAAGTGGATCCACTACGACAACCAAAAGTACAGAAACTTTTGAGATAAACGCGGCATTTTTCCCAGTTAAAACTAAATTTTTTTTATTCACAGTGCAAATTTTAAATGAAAATATCTCGGAAAATTAAATCCAGGAAAACAATATACGAATCCGTAATCTACGACCCAAATTACGTATTCTGGCGTTTTTGTTATATTTCCAAATTTGAGATTTTCCCTACAGTGTAATTATTTTCACGTGCTGAGGAATTTTAAGCAGTCTAACATTTGCTGCGTACCAGAAGAGCTTGCTGAATTTTTCATGTAACTATGACGAATAAAGTTTCCAGTATCTTTTTGAATTCACAAATCGAGCCCTACTTGCGATTATATCGTAAGTGACAAATCATCGATTTTTTTTGTTGCAAATAGGTTACAAACACTGCATAGTTAACCCGTCCAAAAAAAAATCACGAACATTGAATATGTACCGGTACGGAGAAACAAATAAATAGAATTTGAACGTTATAATTTTGGGCGTCTACAGTTTTGTCGCAAGTGACACCAGGAGTACAGAACTGCATTGTAATAGCAGTTTTCGGAACTTACTACTCATCAAAGTTGCAATCGCTAAGTGCAGCGTGTCTCGTCTGGCGGGGTTTTTTTGAAACTCTTGTCTTTTTAAGGGGCTATAATATTTAAAAGTATATCAGAAATAACAGACCCTTAAGCAGGCTTACATATATTCTTATTTAAAGAACTAGGTAGTAGAGAAAAATTGCCACTGAATTTGAAATTGCTATAGTTTATGCAGTTCAGGGTTCTTTTTATAAAACTGCAAAATTCGCTTTTAAGGTGATGAGGGGGGTTGAGGTGAGTTTGGGTGGGTTGAGGATTGATCTGAGGTGATTTGAAGTGAGGTAATGTGAGTTGAGGCGAGATGAGGTGAGGCAAGGTTGAAAAAAGTAAAGATGAGAGTCGAGGTTGGGTGAGGTGAGTTAACGTAATATGAGCAACATAACATCTTTGTCTTTATCTCTACATCTATCCCTTTCTCTATATCTCTATATTTGTACCTATCCTTTTCTTTATGTTTATCATTTTTCTTTAACTCTATTTTTACCAGTATCTTTATCATCTTCATATACATATTCAACTTTACCTTTGTCCTTATACTAAGTATTTAAATTGACCATTTTAAAACTCCCATATTAAAATGAGGTCAGTCTTGTGGAGATGAGGCGAGGAGAAGTGAGATGAGTAACATAACGTTGCCCTTTCTATATCTATATTTTCGCCTCTATCGTTTATTTATACACAGCTTTATTATCATCTTTACTTTGCCCTTATATTTATTTATCTAGTAACCTAAGGGCCGTTTTCTGAAGTAACCTTTAACTTTAAAGCTCACTTTATATTTAAAGGTTGGATTGAAAATAAAGCTATGTCTAAAGTTAAGCATTTCTATTAACGGGTTTTGACGTATGTATGTTTCTTGGTTGTAAACCAATTTAAACCCGATAATAAAATGCTTTACTTTAGACACAATTATAAATTGTAATGTAACCATTAAATATAAAGTGAGCTTTTAAGTTGCAGGTTACATGAGAAAATTATGTTAAGATTTGAGTCAAAACTAGAAGCAAGGCGATTTTTTTTAAGGTGGGTGTTCCTAGATCAGCTGGTTTTATGAATGTGTTTCGCCTGAATTTCCACAAACACTATTACAGATGTTGACAGTTTATGCCGCCAAAGCAAAAACAAAACACATGTAAATTTTTGTTTTTGTACTCCTGCTATAACCTTATATTTATTTATTCACCTTGATTCGAAGTGTATGAGTTTCTCTACACAAAGCACTCACATGTAAGTGTATATATGCATAAAGTACAGACATGTGCCGGTGCTTTTTACCAAACGGCACACACATGTGATGTGAGCAAGTTTTCAATTTTACAACACTTTTATCAACTTGCAATGTTGTGCGTCCAGAAACTTTCAATGTTGTGGATCCAGAAACTTTCAATGTTGTGTGTCCGACACCAAAGCAAAGCTTTGAAAAGTTCCTATAAAAAAGCATAGTGCATAGGGCGACAGCTGTAGTGAATAGGGCGAGGTAGATGACATCTAGATGTCGCCCTATGTACTACGTTTGCTACAGCGGAAATAGACGACACGCCATTTCTTTAAATAAAATTAATTGGTGCTCGTTTGTATGTACATACATATGTAAATGCATGTGTGTGCACCTTTCTATTAATATCGTTGAATTATTTTAATATCTATTGCAAAATTTTATTCAGACAGGACTAAAAAGTAGAAAATAAATAATATAAAAAAAACTTTTTAATATACAACGCTTTTATAAATGGACTAAAAAGTAGAAAATAATATTTCTCAGTCCCATAGAATTTGTTTTGATAACTTTTGATTTTGAAATTTTAGCAAAAGTCATTATAAACAATCTATGAAATTGAAAATGAAAAGCGTGGAGGCGCATGCAATACACTTGAATTGATATGAAAAGTAATATATGTATGTATGTATGTGGGTATATGAATAACTACCGCTTAAAATCGATTTCAAAGTTCTACTTTCGCTGTAGAAATTTTAGGTCTACGTTATGTAGTTTGACTTTTGTCAATTAAATCGAATGCTTTGTATTGCATGCGCTCCACGTTTTTCATTTTCAATTTCATAGATTGTTTATAATGACTTTTGCTAAAATTTCAAAATCAAAAGTTATCAAAACAAATTCTATTGGACTGAGAAATATTATTTTCTACTTTTTGGTCCATTTATAAAAGCGTTGTATATTAAAAAGTTTTTTTTATATTATTTTTTTATATGCACAGCACACGTGTGAGAGCGTTAAATGTTAGGATGTGCTGTAGAGCCAGTTTCGATAGTCGATAGTCACAACCTTCGAAAATGTCGCCACTATCGGTAGTTTTGATTAAAAAAGTCCAAAAATTAAATATAACAACTTTGATTGAAAGTGAGATCAGAATTGCAGAAATATGACCACATTTTTGTTAAGAGACAAAAGTTTATCAACGGTTTTTGGCTTCAAACAGCATCTACGCTCTGGAATTATTCGCCCTGCTTTGCTTAATGTCCCTTCCGATTAACAAGATGAAGCAGGTACCGCCGGCTTTTACTCTTTCTGAATAATGTATGTATGACGGAAATCTATCGATAGTGCTTACAAAACCATTGATGTTTTCGATAGTCAAAAACCATCGATATTATCGATAGTGCCATCGATAGTTTTCCAGCTCTAATGTGCTGCGCATGTGCAAATACGAACCCTGAAAAAACACATGTTTTCCTACACTGTGAAAAAAAAACGCGTTGTAATAATAAAAAAATTTTAATTGATTACCGTTTAAAAATGCTCGTATTTAAATCACGTGAAAAGTGTTAACAAAATGAATTTTTCCATTGTACATAGACTACGTTTAATGGAAATATTCAATTCAAATACGCTCGTATTAAAATTGAGCATTTTTCACTGCACGACTGGCGTTTTGCACGCTTCGGATGCTTTTTTCATATGTAATTAAGAAAGTATATGTATACAAAGCATGCACAGCGGTGACAACACATACACACGTACACACATGCATGGTATGACATAATGCACTAATCGCGCGCTGTGATGTAGATTCAAACACAACATTTGAAAACACATTTACATGTATGGCTGTAGCTGAGTGCGCAAAAAGGTTTGATACAATTGGTTGCTTCCAAGATGGCTCGCGTTCAATTACCATCAGACAGATCATAAAATAAGAATTGTTTTTTTTTTTCTTAATTATAATTTCGTCTAACGAAAAAGCATCTGTGCACTTCACAACGACATATTTTATAACGTACATTCTCAAATTTAAAACGAGTTGGGTTGGTGCTCTTTCATATGCGTATTTTTTTAAATTTAGCACGTTTTTTTTTTAATTCTAAAATTTTTTTCCCTCAGTGTATTTATATTTTTTCCAATAACTAGAACACATAAGAAGTCGTCAAATATAGAAATTAATTTCGAAACTTGCAACAATCTCGCTAATATGAACATTTTAGCCCTGGATCTATTCGGGTGAAGGATTAAATTTTTATATTTTTCTCACTAAAAACTCTAATATTAGAATTGAACTATCTAAACACTGAACACAGCTAAAGTTGAAAATTTATTGAGTTGTTCAGCGCGAATCTAAACTTAGATCACGTAAACGTCGCCCACATTTAACTGCTGGCTAACATTTGGTTGTCTATCTTAGTTTAAATCAGCCAGCGTGATCGTTTAAACTAAGTTTAATCCACAGTCAGATTTAACCGTGTACTGAATACTTGGCCCTTTAAGCACACTTTTTTTCAAACAATCCCTAAAATATCTGCACTCCGTTTTTAAAACTATCGTAAGCGCCAATACTTCGAGCCCTAACCGCCAAAATGACGTAAGCGACACTTTTTTCAAAATTTTATTTTTGATGCAGAAATATTCCTAGAGCATCTAGATGCATTTCTGCATCAAAAAGAAAATTTTGAAAAAAATGTCGCTTACGTTATTTTGGCGGTTAGGGCTCGACTTGTAAAATAGCCTCAGCATGTTCACGAAAAGTGTCGTAAGCGCCATGATACCTCTAAGCAATAAGAAATACAAAATATGAATACAGTGAAACCTCCCTTGGGCGGACACTCACCGTCAGTCATTGTCATTGTCCGCCCAAGAGGGGTGTCCGCTCAATGGAAGGGAAGCTTATTTTAGAAGTTTTTAATGTTTTAATTAATTGAATAGTCACTACTTCTTATTTGAATAAAAGATATTGATATTACATCGTTCAAACAAAAATGTGCATGTAATTTTTCAAAAGTGCATATTTCATTTATGTGCGTAAGTGCATATTAAGTAATAACAATATAAAAATAAATATTACATGTCAGTCCATAAACTATATAAAACCATAGATTCATTACATAAAAAACTGGGAAATTGTCGATTGACGCAAGTTTTATTTTTAATTTTTTTCAGTGTCAGTACCTTTTTCATCAATAGTTTTCATGTTTTTATCAGTAACAAAATCCAACCAGAAATCTAAATTTTCGGTCCATGTATTTATTAATATCTATTGTTATAAATTCATTAGAATTGGAATTGGATTCTCCAAGGGTTTCTGATAATTCAAATAACGAACCTAAACCATTGCGCAAACCAAAGTAAATGTGCGCATAACAATCACATTTTATGCGGGAAGTCCCCCTTTTTCCATTTAGTAGTCCGCCTATGAGGAGTTCGCGTCCGCTCAACGGAGGTGTTTGTTTGATTTGTTATGAAAAGAAATCTTAATGTCCGTTGATAAGAGGTTCGCGTCCGCTCAATAGTTTTTTGTGTCAATTTTATGCAAAATAACTGTCCGCGTCCGGCCAAGAGAGTGTCCGCTTAAGAGAGAGTAATTTATTCCGAAATTTATACTTAAAACTTGGTATAGGAAAAAATGTCCGCCCAAGGGAGATGTCCGTCTAATAGAGGTGTCCGTTAGGAGAGGTTTCACTGTAGTCCTATTAAAAAGCTACCATTCAGTAATATTGTTGTCTATTTAAATGCAACTAAAGTATTGCACTGTTTAGGAGATAATTAAACAAATACTCTCCTTTAAAATTTCCGTTTGTCGCTTATAATAACATCGGAAATATGGCTGGATATAAGCAAGTGATTCATTGCTTTTGAGATTTGTACATCGGCTTTTTCAGCTTACTATTAAAAATTTGAGAACTAGTGTCGCATCAGTAAACAAGCTCTGTTCAAATCATATCTGTATATTTTTTTTTGCTTCTCTTTTTAGACAGGATAATTCAAATGCTTTAAAGATTGTAAAAATAATAATTTTAGTATGCGAGCAAAGCAGAAGCACTTTGATTAAAATTTATATAAATGCCTGAAAAACGTAATCGGTTACATCAGTCAGTGTCGATCGATTTGAAAGACATCAGTTTTCCGGGCAATGATTGTTGTAGTTATTTTGAAATTAACTTGATCAACATCGACAAATTTTAGTACCTAAATCACTCGCTTCCTTAGCCATATGTTATTCCATTACGAAATGTACTTACAATTAAGTCATATTTCCAAGACACGAAGTTCAGAAATTATTCAGGAATTTAGTGAATTGGATATTTTCATGCAAAGTAATTTCGCTTTAACCAATATCAAGTAAATGTTTACAGGATCCTTAGGGGCCATTGGGAATTCAACGCATATAATAATGAAAAGTAATGAAATCTTGAGCACTGAATGGGCTGTCTGTCTTCCGACACTCAATAAATGCAACGTATTGGCTCATGCAATTTTATAATACCTTTGTGATGGTATGTTTCCATGCATGAACGAAATAATAACACTGTGAGACAAATGGTAGGGGTCAGTGATCGGGAAGGGTTCAAACTACCGGGGAAAGTTATATCGGTAAAAAAGAAGTTATACGTGTCCCGGCGTTTCGCTGGGTCACGTCTAGGAATCGAGATATATATATAACTATCATATAGTGGAAATTGTCACCTTTGGTGGTCTTTTTTGACATAACTCGAGAGCCACTAGTCCGATTTTGCTCAAACAAATTTAAAAAAATTAATACCTTAATTAAAATTACAATTCCTTTAATCTGTTCATATAACGTTTTTCTATATAATCAACAGTTTTAAAAAAAAATTAATGATAGGAAAAAATATTTTTTTTCTAAAATATTACATTTTTTTTCCAAAACTGTTTATTATATAGAAAACGTTATATGAACAGATTAAAGGAATTGTAATTTTTTAGATTATTTTTTTAAATTTGTTTGAGCAAAATCGGACTAGTGGTTCTCGAGTTATGTCAAAAAAAGACCACCAAAGGTGACAATTTCCCCTATATGATAGTTATATATATATCTCGATTCCTAGACGTGACCCAGCGAAACGCCGGGACACGTATAACTTGGGTTTGACCGATATAACATTTCCCGTTGGTTTCATCCCATCCCGATTTTGACTGTCGCATAGTGTAATTGTTTAGCCTGTGCCGACTGGCGCGTCCCAATAAAGCTTCTTCATTTTTGAGCTTCAATCATCAGCATAATTCCATCGTATTTACGATTCTTTATTCGCAAGACAGAAATTTAATATTTTGTGGAATAACTATTCATTCCCCTTTTTTGATTTTGCGCGAATACCTAACGACTTCTTTTATAATTCGCACTTAAAACAATGCTGACGAAAGTAATAAGTAAGTCTTATAAAATGCTGTAGAAGTTAAAAATATTAAAAGATGCTGGATCGAACGTTTCGTGACCATTTTTTATTTTACTTTAATTTGTAACAGTAAATAAAAATGATTGGGGATCTCAACAACAGCGACACATACCAGACCTATATATGTAAGTAATTATAGTTGGTGCCTATCTAGGTGATTCTACAAAAAACACAAATAAATCGTTAAGATCGGAGCATGGATTTCAGTTCTAAACCGCTTAGGAGAAGAAGAATTACGAATACACACACACACCGGAATTTTCAATGCAAATTTAAATTTCATTCAAATGCAATAATTTGCATAATCAATTAAAAATACTTTAATTTCTTTCATATATTCTTGAATACTAGTGAACCCACATGGCGGTAAAACGCCCTAAAATTTAATTCGAATCCCTAGAAACTATTCCAAATATTAGTCAGAGTTATAAGCGATCCGAGGCCATATTTCGTCTAAATCCTTGCAGCCGTGTCCGAGTGAAGATAGATCTGGTATAGTGTTGATTTTTAATATCATCAAATTTCAAATCACCCTGTACCGATAAAAAAAATTCCGATTTCAAAAATTTTAAATCTTATCGCGCATCTACAGGCCAAGGTCTTTACTTCGACCTCTCATATTTGAAATTCGAAAGAACGATGCAAATCTAATGACCTTGACACTCATATTTTAGTATTTCGTAAATCTTGGGTATAAGTTAATAAAATTTCGACTTTTCATACAGGGCTTTTTCAAAAGTATTTTCGAAATAAATCTTTCTACATCTCTTTCGGCTTATATTGTAATAAATATTTCAGTAAAATTATTTTGAAGATCTAGATTTTTAAATAGGTGGCAACGCTCCTAAATATATTTCAGAAATAAAGCCCTTTTAAACCCTATTCGATTGATACCCATCTTTTAATAATTCATCCAACTTATTAAACAATTTCATTGTGTCTTTTTAAATGCGTGGCAACCATATTCATACATACGAAATTTTCAGATCTAATATTTTATAACACTCTTTATCTTGAAACCCGTATTTTATTATTTCATATAACCTGTGTATAAATTAATGAAATTCGACTTCTCAAACAGCTGGCAACCCTCTTCAAAATTAGTTTCAAGCTAAAACCTTCTTAAATAAATTGATAAATGAAGATTAATTTCATTTTTTGAACAGCTTTTTAAAAGCTTTTTCAAACCATATTTCATTAATACCAATATTTTAATAAATCATTTATCGTATTAAATAATTTGAATTTAACTTTTTAAACGGGTGGAAACCCTCTTTAATACAAGTAAGAAAGTCTAAGTTCGGGCGGAGCCGAACGTTAAATACCCGGCGCACGTATCAAATATATGTTTTTCACCTTTCCCAAAGCTACCGCTAGATGGTAA